TTCAAAACATTCTTAAGGATCCACCTCATCCTGGACACCCTTTTTTTTTTTGAACTTTTACAATCTGGCAGATGGAACAGGGTAATAAAAACAAGGACAAATAGGCTGAAAAAAGCTTATATTCCAGAGCAGTAACTATATTGAATTCTACAGTATAGTGCAGTGGTGGGTTGCAGGCGATACACCCTGATACAGGTGTACTGGTGCCTGCCAGGAGCACCAGGTACCGTTCCAGTATCATTGTCCCACCCATCCATCCTTACCTGTCTTTAAACTCTTCGGCGTTTCTGCACACAGCATGTACAGTACCTGCGTGACGCTCCTCCAAGCAGCTGGAGCGTTGCGGAGGCGTCGCTGGAGGGTAGGACACATGCACATGCTGCACGTGTGTGCACGCACACTGTGCACATTCATGTGGAGGACGCCGGGCCCAGTTACAACCATAACCCACCACTGGTATAATATAATATTAATACAGTATCAGAGGTTTTCAATTCAATTGTACAGAATGTGAAGGATATGTGTTTTTGTTTTATTTTTATAGTTTTCTTATTTATGATGTATACTGAAAATGGCATTTAATTTCGTTGTATGAGGTGCAATGACAAAAAAGTAAACTAACCTAACCTAAACTATACTTACGTTCCTCTGGCATGTCTTGTTGGTGATCCTCTGGCTGCTGAGAAATCCCCATTTTTGACAAGATGAGGGTAGCACCATCTCTTACCTTCAAGAACATACATGCAACAAATTGGTGAGAAAAGCAAAAATAACTCTTTTTCCCATGCAGTTTCTACTTCTGATGTAAGCATAATATGTGATATAAGAATAAATTCATCTTTCTGGGCCATTTTTTTTACAATGCATTCAATTATTCTTTTTGATGTACTCTATGTATGCCACTGAAAGAGATGAAAAAAATCACTAGTCATCCATTTTAGTGGCCTCTTCATCTAAATATTCATTGGATAATAAAACTAAGCTTGTCTTTGAAATCATTTGGAAGGAAGTATCATGGACAGTTCTACCCAGAGTTCCTGCCCATTACTAAAAGGTTTTTTTTTTATATCAGTCAATCTCATATTAAGGTCCTCAAATTCTTTTGAGATTAGAAAACTGACATTCACGGAGATTAGAGAAGATATGCTGGATTCCTTAAATTTAAGCCTTACTGGAAGGACTTAACTGATAACAATTTCTGTGCTGGCTTTAAACAAGGCTAACTTTTATTTTATCCCTAATACAGAATTTGCCAGTTTCCAAAGAGCTGCATTTAGTAATTGCCCACTTGTGGCATAGCAATAGAATTTCAGATTCTGAAACTAGGCTTTGTTCAAAGAAAATAGATATTGGCTATGATAGGAAGGAAAGGGAACATTTTTTTTGAGACAGATCACTTTTAATGAAAAACTAAAAAGCAGCAAGGAGAATGTAACGTTTCCAAAATGCTTCCTTACATTATAGTGCATCAGGGTATTGATGCGCCTCCACCTCCCTTCCCTTTGTGACGTTAAATCCAAGTCTGAGAGTATCTGTGCAGTAGATCCTGGACGCCACTCTGAGGAGCAATTAGAAGAAGAAAAACATTTTACAGGTGCCCACCCCAAAACAACCTGCATATAAAGGAAGCTTCCATTTAGCAAATTACTGAAGTTTTGCAGAATTCTCTTCTCTTCTCTGGATCCACCCACCCCAGCAATCCTGTTTTTTAAAATGATAAATTAGATTTAATAGAAAAGTTATTTTCCTGTAGTAGAGACAAGGCATTGTACAGTGGGATAGTTCCTTTTCTTCCACCTACTCAGGAAGTCAGGCTAGAAGAGTCCGTATTGTTACTGCTTTTTCACTCTTTTTCAACCCAAACCATCTCACAAGGATAAGGTGAACTCTGAAGCTGATCTGACCGAAACTCCAATGTTGCCACACTGGAGCTGAGGGATAGGGAGGGAGGGAATAGAGATAGCTGGGGTTTTGTAGCCAAAACAAAATACTTTCTCCTGGGAACTAAGGACATTCTCACACCTGGTCAGAGAGAGGGGAGGAGTGACATTACCAGGCACAGGATGGCCACCTGATTGGACCATGTGACTGATGGTTTGGGGAAGGAGAAAAACGTTTACTTTTAATGAGGTGAAAACCGCTGGAACTTTCAGAGGCAATTTTCACCAGAATTGTGCTGAAATGATATATCCAATAAAACTATATTGGCCTTGGAGTTTTGTTTGCTATGGGATTATTACTGGGAACGCTGACAGATAGTTTTATGGGGAAAATAGGAGCAAGGAGTATTAAGTATGTCTGCCAGCTTGAATTATTTATAAAAATAGTAAAGGTGGAATAAAAATAAATACTAATATAAATAAGATGGTTAGTCTTAATAGGAGATCACATAGAAGATTATCTTGATTTGATAATGGCCAACAGAGAATCGCTGCTCTCTGATGCTAGAATTAAGGAGGGTCTACACTTGTCTGTCAATGTCATTGTAAATCTTTATTGAAGTGAGTTGCTTATCTAGTTAAGATCCAATTTATTTTAAGATTATAGACACACAGTTGTTGTCTATAAGTAGTAATTCCCCAGATGTTTCATTTTAAAAAAAAGTCAAAATCATCACTAGAGGAGAAAACTCCATTTAAGAGTTGAGATGTTTAGAAGCATAAAATATCTGCCCAAATTTAGTTCCATTAAATGATTTTGTTCATGTTAGTATATTGTATTCAACTCTTTTTTTCTTGGAGAGCAAGAAACAGTATATCTCAAAGTAAAGATCTTAGCTTGCATAGTATGCATGGTTGTATTGTGCTTGTGAGATACTGGCTAAAAATTATATCTTTATCTTTTTTAGGTAATGCTGCATGTAGCTCAGGCAAGACTATTAACCTAGCTTGTACCTTCCTGCTTTACTGAGAGACATGTAAAAGCTTCAATTGTCCAAAGCCACAAAGGTCAAACACTACTGTCATATCAGATAATGTTCATGGCATATAGAACATTAGAATTTGGAGTGTTAAAGGAAATAAATGTAAAGAGCAGGAGATAACTAATGAAATAAAGGAAAGATAAAATACGATTGTATGTCTATGATGTTGGATATTTCTAGGTAGTCTAATCCTGTTGGCTGGAATGGATTAATACATGCAGGGAAATTATCTGGTATAAATTTTTAAAAATCTTACAGCTTTTAAATTGTTTTTTTAAAATAATGATAATCATTACTCTTAATAGGTTTTTTTCCTCCTACAGCTCAGCTGAGTTATACATTTTCACAGAAGCAAAAAAGCAAGATGGCCGCTGATAGAACCGGTTCGCGGGTGTGGATGGTCGAGTTACTACCTACTCGGCCAAACCGGTAGGAACCCACCTCTGTGCTAGACACATTAAAATAGATTCTACATCAAATGTAGCATTTCTATATGGAAAACAGATTAGTAAATTGTTATAACTATCATAAGGAAATTTTAACGCCATAAAACCTACAAGCCATACTAACCATAACACTGAGAGAGGCAAACGGAAGAAACTAAGTTACAGCTCTTGCTTCTCTCTAAATTTTATCTCTTCAAGTAGGAAATTACAAGGAGAGCCATATTTTACCTTCTTTATCAGACAGAGAGAGTATTTTTCAAGTAAATGAGAACTTCTGAATGTATGGAAATTGGAAAAAAAATTGGGGTAGAGTTTAGTGGATAAAGTACTTTTCTTTTTACTTTTAAATCATTCCATGGATTCAGATGGAATTACTAAGACAATTTTTTTTGCTTTTTGCAAACATTTGCATTTTGACAGCAATGTGTTCTTTAAAATACATTTCTAAAAAAACCAGATACTTACCAAGAACAACACTGTCATGCTTTGGCCACTGTGAGTAAGGCAGATTTCGATATACTTGCTCTATGATCTTTTCTTTTACTTGAGAAATGGTATCACAGTTGAGCACTTTTACAGGTGTAGATTCTGTGCCTTCATCCTGAACAATCACATTTACAGTCTGGAAGGTTAGAAATTTCAGGGTTATTAAAATCCCACAAGAAAAGTCAGTGCTGATATAAACTTGTCTATTTATAGACATTTAGACAAGCAGTACAGTTCATGTCATTTCTTACCCGTTTCTCTGTTTTTTTTTTAAATGGAAACGGGGTCATACTGAGATTCCTTTGAGAATTAATAAACTATTCATTACCTTTAACACTGAACCTATTGAAAATATAGAAAGCCTTCAATATATTTCTGTACCATCACAATTGGATTTTGAAGACTTATTTTTTTTTAAAAAAAAATTAAACTGAGCCACATCATCCAACTAGGGCACTAGCTACTGTTTGTAGCTGCTTAGATTAGTCCATTAACCTTACAGGAAGACACTCACTATATTAGAAACTCCCCCTGTCAACACAGCAGAGAAAGCAATTTCCAGATAGGTAAAGCTTCACAGACATTTAATTCCAAATACTGTAATCCCCAAATATCAGTTTTGATTGAAATAGACTCTTAAATGAGAAAAGGCAAGTGTAGTCATAGCTGGCAAGCAAGCACATTTCAGTAAGAGAACATACAATACACACATGACATTGAAGAGATGTTTTGGTGAACATTTTTTCCCCTTACATATATATACACACTACTAAAACATTGCTTTCATGAGCCAATTGAGTAAGCAGTAGTTTATCCATTAAGTCAAAAATTAAGCCATTTGCAGCAAATTATATTGTTTGCATATGCAAATGGACACACATTATGTAAATTTAATGTTTAGTTAACCTCAATTTAATTGCCGCGTTCAGAACATTTGTCCAGCTATCCTTTTATTACAAAGATATTTAGGCTGCCTAGTTTACCAATCTGTAAATGTGCTTCAGCTGGTCCACCAAATGCAGTTGACTGCAAAATTACTCTATATGGTTTATTACAAATTGCTTCCTGTTGTGGCCTGGCAGGAGCCATTGGAGCTGCCACCAGACACCGACAGTGAGGGGCCCTATGAGTCGGCCCTGGAGGATGTGGACGACCCTGGACAGGTTTCCAACTCCGAGCAGAGCGCAGAGAGACTGGTTGGCCACCAGGTGGCACCTGAGCCTTGGATCAGTGGGGAGGAGACAAGAGAGAGCGATCCAGAAACCAACNTCTGACTGCTCTTTAGAAGGCCAGATCCTGAAGATGAAACTCAAATATTTTGGCCACCTAATGAGAAGGAAGGACTCACTGGAGAAGAGCCTAATGCTGGGAAAGACTGAGGGCAAAAGAAGAAGAGGACGACAGAGAATGAGGTAGCTGGATGGAGTCACCAAAGCAGTCAGTGTGAGTTTAAAGAGGATGGTGGAGGATAGGAAGGCCTGGAGGAACATTGTCCATGAGGTCGCGATGGGTCAAGACACGACTTCGCAACTAACAACAAGAAGGTTATGAGTCCCACTTGATGCCAAGGTTCATTCATAAAAATAATCATTATAATGAGGATTAGTGTTCACTTGTCAGTGTCCCCCCCTCTTTTAAAAGAACAGTGTCAGGAGAAGTAGGAAATCTGGTAAGATACAGGAGAAATGCCTGCAGGCACATTCAAATCCCAAAATGCCATGTTGAAAAACCTGGTTCAAAACTACATAACATTAGCCTTTTAAATTACTAGAGGAAAAATATTGTAATGGCTAAGTATGGTTTGTTTTTAAGAAGAAAGCACTGAGATATTCATCTGCTTGACTTTAGATCCCAGCTATACTTTAGACATGGTCATAACAGGAATGGAAAAAGGGGAAAGGAAAATGTAAGAGTTCTACATTCTTTGCAAAGTCAGTATATATTAGCTTATGTCATATCTAAAATTTGGATTTTTATTAAGATAAAGTTTTCATATTCTACTTTTAGTGGATCTACACAAGCAGAATAGATTTTCACAAGGTGTTGGACAGAATTTAACTTTTAATCTTATTGTAAAATTTACACCATGCTTATTAGTGCTGACTACTGCTCTTGATACATGTTGATATTTATATTTTGCTTTAATTTTAAAACAATCTGTAGTTTTTAAAATAATACATTCAATTACTTAATAATAGTTAATGAAATATTGGAAGTTCTAACCTAATTCTATAATGTTTGTAAATATTCTCTTTATTCATGACCTTTAAAAATGTTTCTGTATTTTTACACTTCTTTTATCTATCTTTTTAAATAATTCTTTTCTCTTTTAAAAAAATGCTAAATGAAAATACTACTAACAACCACAATAGAAATAAAACTCAGGTCACAATAAATCAATTGGTTCTCCATTGGGTCAGACTAGTTCAACTCTTCTTATACACACCAGTCAATAATATCCTCTTTTAAGAAAATGAAAAATATGGAATGTTTGTTGTCTCTTAGGATTCTTTGTTATCTAATGGACATATAGTGTATTAATACTGGAATTTTCAAAAAATACGTTCATAAGCAAAGATGAAAAAACCTTGAGTTTCTTTAACGCTAATGAGGCTTAATTGAATCTATTAATTTTAATGCAGTTAGTCTATGTATCATTATAACTGAATTCAGCTGATGCCTTTGAATTTAAATCTTCATTCCAAAGGAAAAATCTACATCTAAAGTCACTATCTATTTAAACATAGTGAAATTGACACTTGGCAGTCAATTTTACCTTCACAGAGAGTAGCCTTGTCAGGTAGATTTCAGTGATAGCTTTGGTCCTTTCCTTCTCCTTCATACTCCCTCTTTTTGATTTACCTTCATCAACTTCATCTACTGCTCGAACTAGATGCCAGATCTTATTTTCTTCTTCCAATAAAGCATGTCCTGAATAAACCATAACATTTCAAAGCAATCAACAGATGAAATGAAATCCAGGGATTGAGCAATTGATCGCCATGCATAAAATAATGTCCACTGTGTTGCAACTAAATGGCATACTTAATGGCCTGCAATAAATATTATTTGTATTTCACAAATGAAAGGAAAATCTAAGCTCATATTACTCTTGCTTATAAGTTCAGATTTTCAAATGAAAAAGTTGAGATAACTTTAACCCTAGCTGTTTTTGACCATGGTTGATAATATTAGTTTGAAGAGGAAAAACACAAAAACAGTAAAATAAGCCAGTATTTCCTAAAGTCTTACGTTAAAGCCAACTATGTCTGTTTTGTGACTGCTTTTTACCTGTTTGTTGTTCATAGATCCTAAGAAATATACAGTAGATCCCAACAATTCAAAGCTTAACACATCTTCACAAAATTTAATAGTGACCTTAGTCTTATCTAGTTAGTCCTCTACTTACTTATGACCACAATTCAGAGCAGACTGCCATTGGTAAGCAAAGTGGTTGTTAACTGAGTTGTGCCCAATTTTACAACCTTATTTGCCATGTTGATAAGCAAATTACAACAGTGAAATGAATCATGCAGTTGTTAAATCTATCCAGCTTCCCCTGTTGACTTTCCAAACTGGAAGCTGAATGGGAAGGTTGCAAACGGTGATCACATGACTTTTGGTATGCTGCAACTGTTGTAAATATATGTCAGTTGCCAAGTGCCTGCATTCTAATAACATGACCGTGGGAATGTTGAAACAATCATTAAGTACTGATTTTAAGTTACTTTTGTCAGTGTGGTTGTAACCTCAATGTTGCTAAATGAATGGTTGTAAGTCAATGACTTACAGATACCCAGATGAACATACACTTCCTATTTATTTTCCTGTTTGTATTTAGGCCTTGGAACATTCTTAGGCAGTTATAGAAGTGATAAAATCCCTGGCTAAATCCACATTACAAAATGCTTGATTTCCTACAGTCCCGAATGCTTTGATGTTTTAGAAATGTCGCATAGACTTCATGTCTGAAGACACCATAATCTCTTCATTTACAAAATAATATATTTCAACACATCCCCTTTTGTTGATAATGAGATTCTTAAATCAGAGAACAGGCTGTGTAGAGGAAAAACCAGGCACAGTTTTATGATAGGACCCTGCGATTTTAAAAACCACGAAAGAGTGTGTAATTCCGTTTACTGACCTATTTATACGTTCATCTCAATTTGATTTTTTTTCCTCCTAAAGAAAGATTGTAAAGCATTCTTACATGGTGTGGGAACAGGAGACCTTAAAACAAAGCTACTTTCCACCCCAGATCTCTTGAAGAGTACAAATGTAGTCCATCTGTTTAATTATACTGTATATACAGCGAAATAGGCACCGCGAATGATATAAAGGTTCAAGCAATTACAAGTCTGCTCATTAAATATAAAACTTTTGATCTATGAAGCTGAATAAATGTACAATACTGCCAACCAATTAATTACAGTTATAGTACACTCACAATGCATATATGTCAGAAAAGTCAAAGCATAAACAATATGTACACAATGACATTTTTAACAATTCTGAATTGTATTCTTTTCATTCAGCTTACAGCAGCATCATGACTTTTAGCAATCAGAGAAAAGGCCACTATGGTACATTGTTCTTTCTTTGGGTAAGACAGATAATTTCCAGGCCAAAAAGTAATGAATAACTGCCATTTTGCAGAACTATTGATTTCAAAAAACCAGTAATATAAAGAAATGCAAACTCTAACTTTGCTAAACAATGTAATAGTATAATGTCTGTTATAAATGCTACCAAAATCCTGCTTTAAATTTTTTTTTTGCTTCTACAAGCTACATTTTTAGTTCATAAGCCCTGGTGGCGCAGTGGTTAAAGTGCAGTATTGCAAGCAAAGTGCCTGGTTGCAGGCAAACTCTGTCCACAGCCTAGAGTTCAATTCTGATGAGGCTAAAGGTCAACTCAGCCCTCCATCCTTCCAAGCTCAATAAAATGAGGACTAATGCAACTAATGCTTATATTGTAAACTGCTCAGAGAGTGCTGTAAAGAGCTTTGGGGCAATATGTAAGTCTAAATCCTATTGCTATGAACCCGTATATAACCTATAAAACAAACACATGGACTGTCACTTTGATGATGCTATCATTATTTTCAAAGTCCTTTTCATAAACCGATGGTAT